CATGGGATCAGCCCTGCTCCAGTCTGAGTATCAGCGCGTGGCGCTGGCTATCCCCAGGCTTGGAGGTCGCGCTCCGAATGGGTACTAACGTGCGGCACGTTTGTTGACGCTGCATTTCTCACTTGGGATCAGCTGCAGCAACAGCTTTTGCGCGTGTTCGCGCCGCCTAATCAGGCGTACCGTATCCGGTCTTCGCGGCGAACGTCTTCCTCTGACGCTAAAGCTACGGCCGCCCCGCTGCACTTGGTAGCACTTGTAGTCAATCCAGCTCCTGAGTCGGTTGACTATATCCTCTGCGAGGATGGAACACCCCGTGTTCGTGAATTTGCCCCGGCGCAGCAGGACGCGCTTACTAAGCTTATGTCCTTGCTTGGCCCAGAGGGCGTGGCTCATCTTGCATTGCAAGGTCCAGATGCGGTCACCGCCAGGCTGGAATCGTTCTCACGCTACGAGAACGCGCTCGTGGAGCACGTCCAAGAGAAGAGGAGCGCCGCAACGGAGGCGGCGTCGATGGCGCGTGAAGCGTCTATGAGACTGAAACTGCTCATGGTGAGCGTAAAAACCTTCGAGGGGAAGAACGGAGAGAATCTCCTTCTCTGGACCCGTGAGGTCGAGATGGACATGGGATCAGCCCTGCTCCAGTCTGAGTATCAGCGCGTGGCGCTGGCTATCTCCAGGCTTGGAGGTCGCGCTCGCGAATGGGTACTAACGTGCGGCACGTTTGTTGACGCTGCTTTTCGCACTTGGGATCAGCTGCAGCAACAGCTTTTGCGCGTGTTTGCGCCGCCTAATCAGGCGTACCGTATCCGGTCTTCTCGGCGAACGTCTTCCTCTGACGCTAAAGCTACGGCAGCCCCGCTGCACTTGGTAGCACTTGTAGTCAATCCCGCTCCTGATTCGGTTGACTATATCCTCTGCGAGGATGGAACACCCCGTGTTCGTGAATTTGCCCCGGCGCAGCAGGACGCGCTTACTAAGCTTATGTCCTTGCTTGGGCCAGAGGGCGTGGCTCATCTTGCATCGCAAGGTCCAGAGGCGGTCACCGCCAGGCTGGAATCGTTCTCACGCTACGAGAACGCGCTCGTGGAGCACGTCCAAGAGAAGATGAGCGCCGCAACGGAGGCGGCGTCGATGACGCGTGAAGCGTCTATGAGACTGAAACTGCTCATGGTGAGCGTAAAAACCTTCGAGGGGAAGAACGGAAAGAATCTTCTTCTCTGGACCCGTGAGGTCGAGATGGACATGAGGTCAGCCCTGCTCCAGTCTGAGTATCAGCGCGTGGCGCTGGCTATCTCCAGGCTTGAAGGTCGCGCTCGCGAATGGGTACTAACGTGCGGCACGTTTGTTGACGCTGCTTTTCGCACTTGGGATCAGCTGCAGCAACAGCTTTTGCGCGTGTTCGCGCCGCCTAATCAGGCGTACCGTATCCGGTCTTCTCGGCGAACGTCTTCCTCTGACGCTAAAGCTACGGCCGCCCCGCTGCACTTGGTAGCACTTGTAGTCAATCCCGCTCCTGAGTCGGTTGACTATATCCTCTGCGAGGATGGAACACCCCGTGTTCGTGAATTTGCCCCCGGCGCAGCAGGACGCGCTTACTAAGCTTATGTCCTTGCTTGGCCCAGAGGGCGTGGCTCATCTTGCATTGCAAGGTCCAGATGCGGTCACCGCCAGGCTGGAATCGTTCTCACGCTACGAGAACGCGCTCGTGGAGCACGTCCAAGAGATGATGAGCGCCGCAACGGAGGCGGCGTCGATGACGCGTGAAGCGTCTATGAGACAGAAACTGCTCATGGTGAGCGTAAAAATCTTCGAGGGGAAGAACGGAGAGAATCTCCTTCTCTGGACCCGTGAGGTCGAGATGGACATGGGATCAGCCCTGCTCCCAGTCTGAGTATCAGCGCGGTGGCGCTGGCTATCGCCAGGCTTGCAGGTCGATCTCGCGAATGGGTACTATCGTGCGGCACGTTTGTTGACGCTGCATTTCTCACTTTGGAATCAGCTGAAGCAACAGCTTTTTGCGCGTGTTTGGCGCCGCCTAATCAGGCGTACGTATTCCGTCTTCGCGTCGAACGTCTTCCTCTGACGCTAAAGCTACGGCCGCCCCGCTGCACTTGGTAGCACTTGTAGTCAATCCCGCTCCTGAGTCGGTTGACTATATCCTCTGCGAGGATGGAACACCCCGTGTTCGTGAATTTGCCCCCGGCGCAGCAGGACGCGCTTACTAAGCTTATGTCCTTGCTTGGCCCAGAGGCCGTGGCTCATCTTGCATTGCAAGGTCCAGATGCGGTCACCGCCAGGCTGGAATCGCTCTCACGCTACGAGAACACGCTCGTGGAGCACGTCCAAGAGAAGATGAGCGCCGCAACGGAGGCGGCGTCGATGACGCGTGAAGCGTCTATGAGACAGAAACTGCTCATGGTGAGCGTAAAAACCTTCGAGGGGAAGAACGGAGAGAATCTCCTTCTCTGGACCCCTGAGGTCGAGATGGACATGGGATCGGCCCTACTCCAGTCTGAGTATCAGCGCGTGGCGCTGGCTATCGCCAGGCTTGGAGGTCGAGCTCGCGAATGGGTACGAACGTGCGGCACGTTTGTTGACGCTGCATTTCTCACTTGGGATCAGCTGCAGCAACAGCTTTTGCGCGTGTTTGCGCCGCCTAATCAGGCGTACCGTATCCGGTCTTCTCGGCGAACGTCTTCCTCTGACGCTAAAGCTACGGCCGCCCGGCTGCACTTGGTAGCACTTGTAGTCAATCCCGCTCCTGATTCGGTTGACTATATCCTCTGCGAGGATGGAACACCCCGTGTTCGTGAATTTGCCCCCGGCGCAGCAGGACGCGCTTACTAAGCTTATGTCCTTGCTTGGCCCGGAGGGCGTGGCTCATCTTGCATTGCAAGGTCCAGAGGCGGTCACCGCCAGGCTGGAATCGTTCTCACGCTACGAGAACGCGCTCGTGGAGCACGTCCAAGAGATGATGAGCGTCGCAACGGAGGCGGCGTCGATGACGCGTGAAGCGTCTATGAGACTGAAACTGCTCATGGTGAGCGTAAAAACCTTCGAGGGGAAGAACGGAGAGAATCTCCTTCTCTGGACCCGTGAGGTCGAGATGGACATGGGATTGGCCCTACTCCAGTCTGAGTATCAGCGCGTGGCGCTGGCTATCGCCAGGCTTGGTGGTCGAGCTCGCGAATGGGTACGAACGTGCGGCACGTTTGTTGACGCTGCATTTCTCACTTGGGATCAGCTGAAGCAACAGCTTTTGCGCGTGTTCGCGCCGCCTAATCAGGCGTACCGTATCCGGTCTTTGAGTCGAACGTCTTCCTCTGACGCTAAAGCTACGGCAGCCCCGCTGCACTTGGTAGCACTTGTAGTCAATCCCGCTCCTGGGTCGGTTGACT